TTACAAAATATCTTCATGGAACATGATCTTTACTTAATATCCGAATGATTTTTGGCATAGAAGAAAAATGTATAATTTTGATCCATTCAATGTATTGTTGGCTATTGCTACAAATATACCCCAGCGACTTAAGACTGCTTTTGTGCTCCAGGGTCACAAATGTGTTCTTAACTTTGGGGTCGCACACAAAACGGAACGAAAATAATAAGCGCAACATATTTTTAATGAAATTAATGTACAACATTTCAGTTCAGTATTTTCTTTATCTTTCATGATACTCAATATTCACCCCTACTGTAAATTATGCAGCAATATTTTTTATTTTTTATTCGACTGGTGTGTGTTTCAGACTATGCACGACTTCGAATACCTCAAACTGCTGGGAAAAGGCACTTTTGGGAAGGTGATTCTGGTGAAGGAAAAAGCAACGGGAAAATATTACGCCATGAAAATCCTCAAGAAAGAAGTGATTGTAGCCAAAGTGAGTACAAATATGAGAAATATTAGTGTACTTAACCTGATTTTAAGCCCTGTTTTGTCTGCAGTGGAGTTAAAGATCTTCTAAACTCATCACTGAAGGATCGGTTTGATGTGGAGGGAAATGTTGGAGATACTTGACTGATAAAACTATATATTTTTAAAGGAATATCACAGAATTTTTCTAACATGTTTTAATTTTAACTGTAAACCTCTTTAGCGGCGCTAAACTTTTTGCTCAAAAATAAAAGGAATTGTTAATTTTCAGTTGGTTATGTTTTAAAAGATGAATTAAATGTCACATTTTTAATGCATTAATTTGAATACTACAGTTTTTGATTTTGAATAATGATTTTGGATTAAATCATCAATCCAAAAAAATTAAAACACAGAATTTCTGAAAACATAAGACATTTCATAGGGCCATATTATTGTAAAAATGTTAATACATTATAAAATTGTTAAAGTTATATAAATTTTATTGATTAGACATGTTTTTCGATTATTATTCAAATTTAATTAAACCATTAAAACAGAATTGAACCAGAAAAAAATGAAGATGGAAAACTTAGAATATGGGGAAAATAAAACAGAATTTGGGAAAAAATAAAACGGCTCTAAAAATTTTATCTTTGTTAAATTGTAAACGTTTCATGATTTCAATTAATTAGACATGCTTTTTGATTGCTAAGATTTAATGGTTAAACTTAAATGAAAAATCGAAAAATATTCAAATGTAAATAGATGGAATTGAGAAAAATTCTAATTAAAAAAAAGAATTGGGGAAAAATAAAACACATTTCAGAGGGCCCTTATTTTTTTAACTCAACAAATTGTTATTAAATTGTATAAGTTTCATGATTTTAATTAATTAGACATGCTTTTGGAATAAAATAAAAAATGGAAAAACTGAATCCAAAAAAAAAAAAAAATGTATTAAAAAAATTTCATTATGCCCTAAATAATTTTTAAATTTTTTGTTAAACTGATAAGTGATTGTTGTTAAATTGCATACGTTTCATGGTTTCAACTAATTTGGCATGCTTTTTAGATTAATACAATATAATTTAGCCAATAGTTAAAATTAAATGAAAAGTTGAAATAAACCTAGAAAAATAAAAACTCATATAAGTAAAAATTTTTACCATAGAATTTTTGTTGCAAATTGCATCTTTACATTTTATACCACCCCACCCACCATATACGACCCTACCCAGCCCCAACAAAGCAATCCCCAATTAGAACACAATGACATCTGAAAAAAAAATAAAAATAAAACTTTTTTTTACAAAAAATACAAATACAAAATGCAAAAAACTAATTAATAATAATAATAATAAAATAAGGGGTGTACATATATACCTCCACTCAATCCACGTCTATGATTTGTAAATCATTAAAGAATGTGATAAATTGTTGCCATTTTTCAAAAAAAGATTCCCCCCTACCTCTGATATTGTACTTAATTTTTTCAAGTTTAAAAAAAAAAGACCAAATCTTTGAGCCAAACTGAAATAAAGGGGGGTTGAGGGGAGGTCCAAGATAACAGTATTCTGTTTCAAGGAAATTAATCAGAATGAAGTGTGTTTATACTTAAAACTTGCCAGTGGAGTCAGAAAAATAAACAAAATTAAAAAACAAAAACAAAAAGAGAAAACCTTTATTTTTCTGACACCAGTGGCAGGTTATTTATTTATTTATTTATTTTTGCAGGTTTAAGCATAAACACATTTCATTTTCATAAATTCTCAGGCAAAAAATGTAAGACATCATTTTGCATCTCAAGTAAACATATCTTGATTTAAGAATGCTTCTATGCACACAAATGTTGAGGAGGAAAATCACTTATTAAAGGAACAGTTCTGCAACGAAGGACTTTTATTATATAAACAATAAATAAGGAAGTTTGATAAAGCAAGTTTCCTCTGTGGTTTTATCTGGAACACGTTTGATTGCGCACACTTGTGCACAAACAGACAGATTTCCATGAGAACCCCGTTTAACATCAGCCAGTTAAACAGAT